TCAGCATCCTTTGTTCACATTAAAAGTGATAGGGATGGAGGATGCTCTGCATCTCAGATAACTCATTTCATGGCAGCTCATTATCAGAGCAGGGATGGCTCAATCCCTCTACATCCAGCTCTGAAGAGAACCCAACTGGGCTTCTGCATTCATCTCTGGGCCCCTCAATCCTAGCAACCACTTTTCAGAAATCAGGGAAGGGATAGGCCCCTTGAGTATGATTCTGTGGACTTGACTGTGATACATCAGTCAATTGTGGGCCTCTCTAAACTAAAGTCACCACAAGGAATATTCCATACACCTGCAATGGCAAAAGAGTTGTGCCAGAGTGGGTATGCCTGTGTCAAGTTGTGAACATCATTTCCTATTATGTGATGAGCACGTGTCTAAACTTGCTTGAGGGCAGCCTAATGTGCTGTCCTACTCGTGAAACCTTGGTGAAGGACTAATACACAGAAATCACCAAGAACACCCTGTGATGCCAGCAGACCAGATGCCAGCTCATGCCAGGACCCTTAGGCCTCACTGAACACTGACAAATGCATAGCTGGAAACCAGTCTGGCTCACCTGTGTGTTAGCACTGCTATAATAGATGTTAATATTATAAGAATGTGTTCAGTGTTTAGAATTTATGAAATGCTTGTAAATTGCTGCATGCACTAAACTGATAGCATTTGTATCCCATGCTATAAGGTAATATCTAAGTGTTTGCTCTGGAACTGTAAAAAGGTTTGCTCTGAAGCTGTAGACCCAGTCAGGAAAGAGAAATTACTAAGTGTGAAATACTAGTGTGCCCCAGGTGGGCTTATCTCCTGCCCATCAGGAAGGCCTATGGAAACCAAATGGGCCATTGTGAATAATCATAGAACAAGGATGTTGTTGATTGTTCCCTGTATGTCCTGGAAGAGGGAGACATGTAGAAGTGCTCATCTCATCAGCTTGAATTCGGGGGAAAGGAAATAAAACTGTTTGACATTAAGAAATTGGGATCTTTTATGTGGCTTGGGCTCTGAAAGGGCAAGAACTAGCAAGCATAGGCAAAAAGATTCCCAGGATTAACCTGTATTAGCCCTAACAGACATATAGAGTTTGCATATTTCAGCAGATCTATCACAATGCAAAACCTAAAACTGTAACTCATTTGTGTGTGCATATTTATCTGCTTTAACTTTGTCAATAACTCCCCTATTTATTTTTCCTAGTTAATAAATCTATAGTTAGTTTATTACAGGATTGGCTACAGGCATTATATTTGGTTTGAGATCTGCAGTATAATTGACCTGGGGTAAGTGATTCATCCTTTGGGACTGGGAGTAACTGGCATATTTTTCTGATCTTTGGTATAAGGTGACCATCTATCACACAGTCAAGCTTGCCTGGGTGGGGGGAGCACAATGTCAGTATTCATAAAAGCAGACAAAATTTTAGGATGCCTAAAGAATGGGATGCGGACTGATATAAACATAAATCGATGGGAATTCTATATTCATTCCTGGGGACCCTCCAGAAAAGGAGATAGCATGGCTTTCAGGGATGAGCATCAAAAACTGATTAGTGACATAAACAGATTGGAAATATTTAGTTTAGGGAGGAGAAGAGGGGATATGACAGATCAACATGGTGGGTGAGGTAGTATCTTTTATTGGACCAAATTCTATTGGTGGAAAGAACCACTTTTGAGTTTCACAGAGTTCTTCTTCAGGTGTGGGGAAGGTGTTCATAATAGTACAGCTAAATTCAAGTTGGGACAGTTTGTTAAGCATAAATAGATTAATAGATTCATAGATTCTAGGACTGGAAGGGACCTCGAGAGGTCATCGAGTCCAGTCCCCTGCCCGCATGGCAGGACCAAATACTGTCTAGACCATCCCTGATAGACATTTATCTAACCTACCCTTAAAGAGTTTTAAGAGACCACATAATATGAAGTGGCTGCTTAATGCTTCTGCAGGTAGAGCCTGGTAAACAAAATAAGGAATGGGATAGAAAAGATTTATTGAGGTCTCCTTACTTCCTCTTTCTCTTAAAAGAAATAAAATAGACTAGCAAATAAAACTGAAAGGCATCTAACTGAAAATGTCCTAATATCTTGCTATCTACTGATGGATCGATCAATAGATAGATATAGATATAGATATAGATATAGATATAGATATTAGGACATTTTCAATTAGGTGCCTTTCAATTTCCTTGACCACGATATCTATCTATCTATCTATCTATCTATCTATCTATCTATCTATCTATCTAAACAATAGCTATCTAGTTTAAAAAGAAAGTTTGGGGCATTGATTCAATTAAAAGGATTATTCACCATTACGTTAGATAATGTAAATTATAAGTACAGTTAGCAGAAAATTTTCATCTGATTTTTTTGTCAAAATCACCTCAAATATTGCCACAAAGAGAATTGGACTTACAACAACTCTTTAAGAGACAATAATTTGGACATGTGGGATAGTATGGGAAGCATTTTGAAATAAGCTGAATGACAGGTGTGTCTGCCAAATATATCAACAATAAATAACTAACTATGCTGGCAGTGGGACTGTCCTCATTAAGTTTCAGAGTTAATATCCCATTTAAATTAATAAAGGCAATTAACATTTCATTCTGAGTTATTTTTTCAGGCTGTCTGCAGACACAGGAAGAAATTAAATTCATTATGGAAATCATAGAATTATAGAAGATTAGGATTGGAGGAGACCTCAGGAGGTCATCTCGTCCATCCCTCTGCTTAAAGCAGGACCAACACCAAGTAAATCATCCCAGCCAGTGCTTTGTCAAGTTGGGCCTTAAAAACCTCTAAGGATGGAGATTCCACCACCTCCCTAGGGAACCCATTCTAGTGATTCACCACCCTCCTAGTGAAATAGTGTTTCCTAATATCAATCTAGACCTCCCCCACTGCAACTTGAGACCATTGCTCCTTGTTCTGTCATCTTCCACCACTGAGAACAGCCAAGCTCCATCCTCTTTGGAAACCCCTTTCAGGTAGTTGAAGGCTGCTATCAAATCTCCCCTCAATCTTCTTTTCTGCAGACTAAACAAGCCCAGGTCCCTCAGCCTCTCCTTGTAAATCATGTGCCCCAGCCCCCTGATCATCTTTTTTGCCCTCTGCTGGACTCTGTCCAATTTGTCTACATCCTTTCTGTAGTTGGAGGACCAAAACTGGACACAATACTTCAGATGTGGCCTCACCAGTGCCGAATAGAGGGGCATAATCACTTCCCTCAATCTGCTGGCAGTGCTCCTACTAATGCAGCCCAATATGCCATTAGCCTTCTTGGCAACAAGGGCACACTGCTGACTCATATCCAGCTTCTCATCCACTGTAATCCCCAGGTCCTTTTCTGCAAAGCTGCTGCTTAGCCAGTCAATCCCCAGCCTGTAGGGGTGCATGGGATTCTTCCGTTCTAAGTGCAGGACTCTGCACTTGTCCTGGTTGAACCTCATCAGATTTCTTTTGGCCCAATCCTCCAATTTGTCTAGGTCACTCTGGACCCTATCCCTACCCTTAACTATATCTACCTCTCCCCGCAAGTTAGTGTCATCTGCGAACTTGCTGAGTGTGCAATCCATCCCATCATCCAGATCATTAATAAAGATGTTGGATAAAACCTGCCCCAGGACCAACCCCTGGGGCACTCCTCTTGATACTGGCTGCCAACTAGACATCAAGCCGTTGATCACTACCCATTGAGCCTGACAATCTAGCCTGCTTTCTATCCACCTTATTGTCCATTCATCCAATCCATACTTTTTTAACTTACTGGCAAGAATACTGTGGGAGACCATATCAAAAGCTTTGCTAAAGTCAAGATATATGTTTGCTGATATTTTCAGAGCTGCCTAGGTGATTTATATTCACATTTCCCTAAAACCCCTGAACAGTTTTGCAAATATCTTACAATTAGGCTTGGCAGAATTCAATTTTATTTTTCTACAATTGGGACAGATAATATAGCTATAGATTATAAGCAGTTTTTATATTTTATTAAATTAAAGTTTCACAGTGGCAGGAAATTATGGGTGAATCAGACCACAGGGCAGGACGGATGACAATTATTTATTGATAATGGACATTGATTTCAAAAACTTAAAGCTTTAAAACAGTTAAAACACAAATTTTCAGTTCACATACCAAAACATACAAAGTAAATATCCTTAAACCAATCTCTAATAAGTTATCAAGCAGCATTTTTCTGGCTTTGTCTTTCTGTAAATTTCAATTAGCGATTAAAATATTTGTTGTTGGTTTGTGTATGTACTGTGCAATTGACATTTACAAAAAAATCTAACCCTCCCAAGCTTAGCTATAATGACTTTGTGTCTTCTGTGCACTCTCCGTTCCTTGGAATTTGTCATATTTCTGTACAGAAAAGAGGAACTAAGTAATGAAAAAGAAATAATACAAAAACAGATATATTATCACATTCCAAAATGAATGAGAATTGATTCATTGCTGTTTGTGGGTTAACACCATAAGTAGTTTTCAAATATTTGGAAGATGAAGAAGAAGAAGAAGGAGAAGAAGAAGGAAAATAATGATGAAAAAGATGATCATGAAAAAATTTCTTGGAGGATAGGTCCATTAATGGCTTTTAGCCAAGATGGTCTGGATGCCACCCCATGCTCTGGGTGTCCCTAGCCTATGACTGCCAGATGCTGGGATTGGACAACAGAGGATGGATTACTGGATAATTGCTCTGTGCTGTTCATTCCCTTTGAAGCATCAGGCATTGGCCACTGTTGGATGACGGGGTATTGAACTAGATGTATCATTGATCTGACCCACTATGCCATTCTTTTGTTTTTATGTTCAAATAGTTAAGAAGATGACAATGATAATTACAAGAAACAGCATCAGTAAAAGAAAATCTGAGAAAGAAAACAAAAAGATGATGATTAAGAATATGATGAAAAGGAAGAAAAAGAAGAAAGTGAAACACCAGCAAAAGAAGAAGAAGAAGCTAAAGAAGAGGAGTATAACATTTATTCACATCCTAAGGATCACATTTTTCAAAGCTTCTTTCACATCCTTGTTTCGCAGGGTATAAATGATGGGGTTTAACATTGGTGTTAAGATGCTATATAATAGTGAGATCAGTCTGGTGCTACCCAGTGAGTAACTTGAACTGGGTCTCAGGTAAGTGAAGATACAACTGCCATAGTACAGAAGGACGACAGTCAGATGGGATAAACACGTGGAGTATGCCTTCCTCTTTCTCTGGGAAGAAGGCATTTTCAGTATGGTCGAGATGATGTAAGTGTATGATAGAAGGATGCAGGCAAAGGGTGTCCAGGCTATAAACAGACCAATGAATATGATCAGGAGTTTGTTGAGGGAGGTGTCCCCACATGACAGCTCAAGCAGCGGTGGGATATCACAGAAGAAATAATCAATACGGTTTTCCCCACAGAAGGGTAACTTGAAGGCAAAGACAGTGTGTATTGCAGAGTTAAGGAAGCCACTTACCCAGGAAGCAGCTGACAATTGGAGGCAAATGCTTTTGTTGATGATCAGAGTGTAATGCAGTGGATTGCAAATGGCAACATAGCGGTCAAAGGCCATCACTGCAAGGAGGAGGCATTCTGTGCCCACGAAGGAGAAAAAGAAGAAAAGTTGCAGAACACAGCCCATGTAGGAGATGTTGCTCCTCTCTGAGAGGAGATGGATCAGTAGCTGAGGAATAGTAGTGGTGGTATAACAGATGTCCAGAAAGGACAGGTTCCCAATGAAGAAATACATGGGAGTGTGGAGTCGCTGGTCCACCAAGGCAAGGATGATGATGAAGGTGTTCCCAAGTAGGGTGAAGAGATATGTGATCAAAAATCCACTGAACAGTAGGAGCCGCACCTCCTGGAGGCTAGAAAATCCCAGAATGATGAACTCCTTCAATGCAGTTTGATTTCTCCTATCCATGTTTCAACATTCAATTGTGTTCCTGCCATTGTAAGAGGAGAATGTTACAAGGAGTGTAAATACAATTTTGAGTGTAATCTTGTAATCGAGAAAAGATATGATGTGTGAATGTTCTATTTGAAAATACTAACATACCACAGAAATGATTTTTGGGTATAACCTCTTTATAATATATGAGGCCACTGGTGATGAATGTTGCATATTAATACCTGGACCCTATACAGTTCTTTTCCTCCATCCTCACAAATGAAATTACAAAAGAGATAGGAGATGTTATCCCCATTTTATCAATGGGGAAAACAAGGCACATGGAGGTGAAGTGACATAGTCAAGGTCACACAGCAGGTCCAGATCCCATTCATTAGGATACACTGCTGTCTACTGTCTATATCCAACTCAATCAGAATCTTTGCACAGGATCCAGTGGGCTTTATATCAGGACACTAGTAACTATGTAGAGACAGAAGGAAAGAAATGGCAATTTACTAAGATAGATAGATAGATAGATAGATAGATAGATAGATAGATAGATAGATAGATAGATAGATAGATAGATAAAAAGTGCAGTATATCACGTGTCTTAGAGTTGGGTTTGAGTGTTTGTAAGTTTTTGTGTGATTGTGAGTATAATCAATGTGGGTGCTATGTCTGTTGTGTAAGGTGTATGCAGGCTTGCGTTTGGTTTGAGAATGTGTGTACTTGCCATGTGTCTGTTTACAAGGAGTGCTGCTTGATTGTGCTTTTGTTTGTTGTGCAACTGGTCACAACATTCTGTTTAAGTTGCATAGAAATTTTCATTTACACTGAACCAAATAAAGAAGATACTCTACTGCAGTTGAGAACAGAATTTAGTCCATTATACTCATACACTCACACATCGACCCACACAAAATACTTAACTATGCAACACACACAAACAAACCCACAGAGTGACATATACCCAAAACCCACATTCTCATGCAAATACTTTCAGACAGAGAAAAAAATCCCACTCAAACACATTCCCCATACAGAGAGACTCAAATAGACATACCCCCAAAAATACACACATACCATCCTATTCAAGTAGATAAATGTACATCAGAAAACCAGCAGACTCACAAATGGAGCCAGATTCTTAGCTGATGTAAATCAGTGTGGCTGCATTTACACTAGCTATGGGTCTAGATTGATTTACGTGAGTTCAGATTCTGCTCTATTACATTACTTTCCTCTGTCGCAAACACCATTAGACTTAGCAGCATGCTATAGGTAGGGCTGGCTGAAAACTTTTCATTGAATATCTATTTATCTATCTATCTATCTATCTATCTATCTATCTATCTATCTATCTATCTATAATGGAAAATTGGGTTTTAAAAAACAATGAAAATGTTCACATGAAGTATCTACTTTCCTCTAATTGTATTTGACTTTTCATTGCAAGGTGACAGTGGGGGCATACAAATTACCAGCTGTTCCCTAGGAAAAATGTTCTCTTTTTTTGCCAGTTTTTGGCTGAAAATATCTCCTTATGTGGCAAGTTTCAGCCTTGGCATAATTGAGGGAGGTAGGTGGGCATTGCCTCCCCAAACTGTAAACCTCAGGCAGGCATGCAATTTGCCCTCCCCCCGACCCATGTGCAGCCCCGTTGGCCCGATTGGAGCTGCCTCCCAACTCTGAATCCCCAAATATAGAAGTCAAACTACGCCTATGGTTTTCAGCCAAAAAATATTCAGTTCTGGATACTTTTCAGCTGATATTTTTAAGGATTTGGCTACAAATATCATATTTCAGGTTTTCATTTTTGATTAAATGTTGAAGATGTCTGCAGAAAAAACAAAATGCAACCTACTCCACTCACCGGTGACAGAAAGCAGCAGTGTTCTGAACTCAGCAGGACTCGTAAGGTGCTGTGTGGCTATTACTTCCTTATATATTTATGTAGCTAGATATGTTCGCATCCACTGGGAAATTCTCTGCTACAACATGTTTTTCAACCATGATCCTGGGCACAGGGAGGGAGGAGAAGTTGAAAGCAAAATCATCCCCTGCAATAATCCCAAGACCCAATCAATTCTAATTTAGTGAAAAATGCATTTTGCGGGCCATTTGGAGGGGGGGACTTGAGGTCAAATTTGGCATATTATTTTGGACGAGAAAATCGCTGAATTTTGGGGGGGTCAGGGAATATTAAACAGTTCATTGTGATATTTTGGAAATGAAACTTCATTTCTAATGGGCATTTTCCTTATGAAACAACATTTTCATGCTGATGATGTCAATTTGAATAAACATTCAAAATGTTTAATTCTACTCCAGCAATTCTATTTAGTTAGTTAGTTAGTTAGGGCTGTTGTTTTTGATGGGCAAACAAACCACCACCACCCAAATCCAGTTTCAGAATGAAACAAACCATTTTTTAAAACAGATTATTGTCTCAGACACTGAACCAAAAATATTTGCTCAGCTTCCAGAAAAAGCCATGGGACTGGCTCTGTCACGAGAAAGGAAAACTATAACCCTTGGTCCTTGATTTTCAAAGGCCTTGGAACTCCCTTAGTCTCCTTTGAAAATCCCAGCCTGCAATAGCTGGCCTCTACTTCTTGAGTGAAAGCAGGTCTCCTTTATCTACTAGTAGGTCCCTTATTTTCTTCTGGGTCTGGCTTGTGAAGGGAGACATAACATGGACCATTATATCACATTTTGGCCATTTCTATAGACTTTGCATCTGAAGCAAGCATAATGAATCCTTGTGCACTAGAGGAAATACACAGTGAAATGGCATTTATAAGGAATAGCCAGCATGACCAAGAACAAATCATGCCTGACCAACCTAACCTCCTTCCTTGACAGAGTTACTGGGTTGGTGGATGGGGTTAAGCAGTACACAAGATACATCTTGATTTTAGTAAGCCTTTTGAAACTGTCCCACATGACATTCTCATGAATCATGCCAGACCAACCTAATTTCCTTCCTTGACGGGGTTACTGGGTTGGTGGATGGGGGTAAGCAGTACACAAGATACATCTTGATTTTAGTAAGCCTTTTAAAACTGTCGCATATGACATTCTCATGAACAAAGTAGGGAAATGTGGTCTAGATAAATTATTATAATGTGGGTGCACAAATGGTTGAAGGAGTGTACTCAAACAGTAGTTATGAATGGCTCGCTGTGAAATTGTGAGAGCGTATCTAGTGGGGTCATGCAAGGGTCAGTCCTGGGTCTTGTACCATTCAATATTTTCATTAAAGATTTGGATAATGGAGTGGAGAGTGTGCTTTTAATGTCTGCAGATGACACCACGCTGGGAGGGGTTGCAAGAACTTTGAAGTACAGGAATGGAATTCAAAATGATCTCAACAACTTGGAGAATTGGTCTGGATTCAAAAAGATGAAATTCAACAAAGATAAGTCAAAGTACTTCACTTAGGAAGGACAAATTAAATGCACAATTGCAAAAAAAGGGGAGTAACTGGCTAAGTGATAGCAATGCTGAAAGGATCTGGGGGTGATAGTGAAACACAAGTGGAATGTGAGTCAACAATGTGATGCAGTTGTGAGAAAGGCTAATATCATTCTCTGGTGTATTAACAGGAGTGTCATATGTATGACATGGAAGGAAATTGCTCCATTCTACTTGGCCCTGGTGAGGCCTCAGCCTGGAGTATTGTGTCCAATCCTGGGTGCCACACTTTAGGAAAGGTGTGGACAAATTGGAGAATGTCCAGAGGAGAGCAACAAAAAAGACGAAAGGCTTTAAAAACTTGACCTATGAGGAAAGGATTAAAAAAAATATATCTGGGTATGTTTAGTCTTGAGAAAAGAAGCCTGAGGAGGGAGCTGATAAGGGTTGTTATAAAGAGGACAGTGATCAATTGTTCTCCTGCAGCAAGGGAGATTTAGATTAGTAGGAAAAACCTTTCTAACTGGAATAATAGTTTCTATGATCTGTCACTCTCTGCAACAGGGGACCACTAATGCTTACCTAGCCCCAGTGCTGCTGTGGGGAAAGGGAGCATAGCTGTAGTCCAACCCCCATTATATTTAATGGAGTTTCAACGCTGCTGGAGTCCACAGATCCTTTTGTGCCGACACAGGATGGGCCAAAGTAGTGCTATGCTTCTTCATGGGATCATCTGCAGTGAGGCAGGCTCCAGGAGGCCTGCCTAGCACCCACAATAGGAACAGGAATGATATTCACAAAGGGACTTCAGCCTGGGGACCCTGAGTGTCACCAGGCCTTACTTTTAGGTGCCTAGGAAGCCACTGGGCGTCTGGGATTTATATAGGATGAGTTCAGTGCCTGTAGAAGCCAATCCACTGTGGTTTAATAATTCAATAGTAATTAGAGCAGGGGGACTGGACACTCATACTTGCTCTCTCTCTGTCTGGCCCACGTAAAGCAGAGAGGGAATGCACCCTCTGTATACTACTCTAGGGAAACAGCCCCTGCTTATCTGTAGGCCTCTGTTTCCCTGAGACCTCTTGTCCTCTATCAGGGATGGAAATTCTGTGCTCCAATCAGGGCCCCAGAATGCCAGAAGCCTCTCAAATAAAAGTAAGCACATGCCATTAGAAATATCTCACTGCCTTCTCTGAGCTTCGAGCATAGAGCTCCCATGGGTAAGAGAGAGACTTGTGTTTCCCTACCTCACAATGGGGGGTTTTATAGGTAAACTGTTAAGATTAGTGAAGTGGTCAGATATCATGGTGATAGGGGTCATTCAAATACTTATAGATTCATAGATTCTAAGGCCGAAGAGACCATTGTGATTATCTAGACTGGCCTCCTGGGGGCCAGAAAATGTGCCCCCAAATATTTCATACAGCAGATCATTTACAAAACAAAAATAAGAACAAAAACAAAACAATGCTGATTTAAAAATTGCCAGTGATGAAGAATACTTGGTAAATTGTTCCAGTGATTAATTACTCTCACTGTTACAAATGTATACCTTATTTCTAGGTGGGATAGATAGATAGATAGATAGATAGATAGATAGATAGATAGATAGA